ATCGGTCAACACCTTCGCGGACGCCCGAACATCCATTTCCCGGACATCCCTGGAACAGGCTTTGCCTTTTTCCAGCTGTTGGATTTCAGGAAAAGCCATTTTCCAAACTGCTCACCAGCAGGTGTTGGATGTTAGTGCACTGAATACCTCCCCCCCTTCCTGTAGAGACTAGACTAGACTTCGCTCGCAGGAGCTCGTCGCACAAGCCTGGCTCAGTTCCACATACCTGGCCGCGAAAGCGGAACGACCGAAAGCCATGGTTGAAACAGCTTGTGCATCGGTCCTTGGGGGGCAAACCACCGAAAATGCAGAACGATGATGACCGGGAACTGCCCTCTCATACTTCAAACCGATTAGAGAACGGATGTCGCTTTGTAAAAATGTGCTGGAAACTGTCCGCTACCTCATGTGGGACCTCTATACAATTTCAATGCCTGGCATGGCCATCCAAGTCCTCTGCTTCCAGCACTGCAATCACTCAACTCCTCTCGCTCTGTCTCTCCTCAGGCCTGGCTTGGATCCCTTTCAGCAAAAAAGAACAAGGCGGTTCTTGCTTATTAGGTTTGGTTGCTCTGGCTGGAAAGTACATACAATGTGCTGTGACTACCATGGTTCGAGCTCAAAAGCTCTTCACCATTCTCTTTAGTCGTGGGCATCTTGCGCAAACCCAAGCCTTGCTTAATTCAATGTAACAAGTCAAGCTTGTGATAGGCCCTTACAAAGAGAACAATCTGGAGGCTGGGAGCTGTTCCTATTTGAGGGTTGCTCTCGATCCTGTATGACTTTTGTTTTCATTGAATTCAACACCAGTTTGATGGCTCCATCATCAGCCCAATACAATCTGTCTGGCAGACTGCGCTACAAACTTTTGCCACACATTGTTTCCTAGATTCAAGGAACTCGAAGTAGTAAGGGTAGATAAACCATCTTTGCAGCAATCTCTGAGACTCAATCAGTCGGCGCAGTGGGAGGTCAGGCCCACTCAAGGTCTCCGTTCCAAACCTGCTCAAATGAAGACAAACAATTCTTTAGCCAGATATTCAAAACCACCGGGAAAACCACTAAAACATCTATATAAACCAAGAAAAACAAACTCCATACTTACATCACACTGTTCAGCAATATAGCGTGTTTGAGTTTTAGCATTTTCACTGCAACAGTAAATGTTCAAACAAACAAATCAGAAGAATACCTCCACCAGGTCTTCACGCAACTGACTGCCCCAACCTTCCAAAACAAAAACAACTTACAAACATGGGATGAATCTTCACCAAACTTGAACTGTAGTTTCAACATGTTTCCACTCACTTGAACAATATGTGTCAGGGATCAATTATCCCAAGTAAAATTACATGCAATACATAGCTGAAGACTGAAGACCACCACCCAAAAACTCGTAATCTCTTCGTTTCTGCCGGCGTTTTCGACCGAAGGAGGAAACTCTTCGTCGTGACCCTGCCTCCGTCGCCGGAAGTTTCCAGGGAACGGGCCTCAGAAGACCAAACACTTCACACAAAAATGTTTTGGGGTCGAACCCCAAACAACCAGAAATTATATATATATAAATGGTTGTTCCAATATGGCCAGCTTGAAATCATTGGAAATAGGAAATGAGACTGGGACATGTTGGGACTCCTGGTTGGGAGCTGGGTTTCTGGCCACGTGACGTCGGTGAGAGACAAAACACGAAGGAACCCAGCGTTTGGCTCGGTCTACGGAAGTCTTTAGCGTTAAGTTCGTTACAACGTTAGGTTCCTTATAACTTATAACGTTAACGCTGGTTGGGTTTAAGTATGGGTAAGTAACCATCTATGGTTCAAGTCTTCAGAATATTGCATCCCGTTACCACTATAGTAGGTTAATTAGCGGTGAAACAACTAAGGGATTGTGATGAAACTTCTTTGAACAAGATCTCATAGGGGATCAGCGGCATACATATCAAGCCTAGCTCGCTCGCTCTGCTGAGACGCTCCCCATGCCGCCGACCTCTTTTCTAGCATCACCAGGGCTCATGTGGATTCGTCAAAAAAACGTCAAAAACAGATGAAAATTATCAAGAAAGGTCACTGTACAGTTTATTTATCGCTTCAAATTCTCTAGAAAATCAAACATTGAAAATGGATGCAAATTTTGAGGACAAATTTTGGTCGAGCATCATTAGCATCAGCAGTCTCAGCAGGAAAGATGCAAATCCTTTGGTGCATGACTATAGGCGCAAAATACTGCAAATTACACTGTTTTTGCGAAATGTTTGTAGTTTATGAAACTTTGCTGCTCGTATTCTGGTGCCAATGGTGCTCGACACAAATCCTACCTCAAAACTTCCTCTCCCCTTTGCATACTTCCTTCTCTAGAGATAAAGTTTTACAGTAGCCATTTTTGATCATGGCCCCATCATCGAAAGCTGCGGCACGGGGCCCATCAACATCAGGAACAGCAGTGACATTCGCATAAACAACCGTGGCACTGTGCCATTCAGCAATAACACCAGTGTTAGGCCTAGCAGCCGCTGCCTTTGGAACAGGCTCTTGCTGGGGTTGGCACAGCCCGTTTCACGCCAACCGCCGGACACTTTTTTCACTGCTGTGTGACAGTGACATTTGTAATTACTCACAAACTTGTACGATGTTGGCTGCCTTTTGTTTTGCGTTATTGATCACTGGTGGTCTTCCTCGGGCCTTTCCCCTGGGTTGCAGGCGAACCATCATCCAGTCATCTGACCAGGCCGTTTCAGTAGCACATGAATTGGTCTCCAAATCTTCCATCTCATGAAATCTTCCCCGGAAGTGCTCCCGGAAACGAGCCCAAATCGTATGAGACCATGTCCAAGGGTGATGTTGGGTGTGTATTCTACAATGCAAGTCGATGAAACCTTATGCATACAAACCACCTTCCAAAACCATACAGTCATACAGTTTGCTGCCCATACAGTCATGTTGATGACTACGGGTCTGGTGACCACTTGAAAAGCCGCAAGCATACATTCACGGAGAAGTTCGTGCTTTCCTTCAATTCTCAACTCCGCAAGCCTTGTCTTTGGCTTTTGATTGGTCATCACGCTGCAACAATGATTTCTGGCTCAGATTGGCCCTGGTTGTTGGCAAGAACTCCCGGTGCATCCGCGAGATCCGCGCCTCAAAGACTGTGTCTTTGCTGTCCGAGATCGTAGGGGGCTTGTTTTTGGTCGCGCAGTATGTCTTGATCAGGTTTGCCTCACAAACTTAGGCGCAGCTGTGATTCTTGGAGCAGATGCAACACTGGAGACTGGAGCAGGTGCAACTGGAGAGACTGATGTTGGTGCAACAGTGGAGACTTGAGCTGGAGGCTGCTGGTATTTTGGAGCTTCCATAGGAGATGTAGCTGCAAGGTCAGCCTGGCAGGGCAGTACAGATAAATCAACTTCTGATGAGTGATAAAAAGTCCCACTTGTAATTAGCAGCCACTTATAGTTCAAATTACATGTGGAACATGTTTGTTATTTTGCGTCACCAAGAAACCTTGGATTGCCAAATATATATGTCACCACTCACATCTTGCCAAGCATATTCTCCATTGTGCCAAAACCATTGACCATCAGGTGTAGGTGGGTCCCAATGTTCTCTTTCAGGAGTTAGTTCACTGCGCTTAGAAGATGTTGCATCCATAGAGATGCCTTGACCTGGCTGCGCAGTTGTTACAGGCTTTGTTGCGCCAGCAGAAGCTGGTCTTGGACGCTTTGGCTGAGCAGGTGCCACAGGTACTGCCACATGTGGAGCTGCCACTGGTTCTTTACCTTGACCAGCACTAACTTTGGCCTGCTTTCCATCAGGGGAGAAAGATATTGGAAGTCCCACAGGCTCTGGAAACCTGACTCTTTTCTTGCTGCCTGTCCTTTGTTCCAGCCACGCCTGGTCCAGCTCTTGGGCCCATTGCTCAGCTTCCTTTTGGGTGATGCCAGACATTGGCAAAGAAAGCATTGTTGAAGACTGCTCACTTTGTACAAGTATGGGCGCAGTGACACACACTTTGTTTACCATGTAGTGCATGCAAAAACATATATGGCATTGTAGTTTACACACTTGTTCTCTTGAGCCTGCAGCAGGTCATAAATCATGTAGTTGTCACATGTTCTTTGAAGCCAAAGGTGGCTAGTAAAAAACTGGAACTTGAAGCCAACAGTGGCTATTCACAGGAAAGCAGCCGAAGGTGGCTACTAGGTTGTTACTATCTGCAAGAGCACTGAGACCAAAAAAGCTTTTTTCCATCCAAGCAGTGTGCATCAGGGTGGTGCCTTTTTCTTTTGGTAAGACCTTTTGGTTGAATTCAATGCCTCCACAGCAGTGGCCTTGATCTTTTGAAAGACAGCTGCAAGCATAGTTTCATCAACCAGCACCATAAGGTCTGACCTGGAAGGTCTTGCTCCTTGCCACAGGACTGTGATGCTTGTGCCATTGCAGTCCACCTCCACTGTTTTGTCTGCAGTGCACTTGCTGACTTTGGTTTTTTTTGCTGCGCTTTCAAAAAATTCACCTTCATCGTTGTTCTCTGAGACGCACATGGCCACTTTGTTTCTCAGAGACACAAGCTCTGACAATCCATCAGATGCAGCTAGGCTAGCATTTTTTTGGCAGCTGCCACAAATCAAAGTGATGATAGTGGAGCTAGTGGCTTTGGTGCGCAAAAATTGTTGCCCCTGCCACTCCACAAGCAAGGTCTGAGGCACTATCATTTGCTTGCCATCTCCATACTGCAAGGCAATGATGTGGTTCACCTTCACAAGCTCCATGGTGGAAAGGTGCTAGGGCAAAAGCAAGCTTTCAGTCTTGAACCAGAGGACCCAAAACACTACTCATGCTTTCCAGCCAAATTGAGGCTACACTTTTTTGAGCGCAGCAGCCAAATGAAGCTATTGAAGAAGCGGCCAAAAAAAGGCTATACCCAGACAGGTGCCACAAGTAGCTGATGTTTCTTTTCACTCTCATGGCAAAACATCAGTCAACATCACTCTTTCAGATGTCCACTTACTTTGTCTTTCTTTTCTTGGAGGCAGATGGCTTCACCTCATCAACTTTGTCCTCAAGAAACAACTGCACAGATGTGTCAATTTGATCAGTGTTCACCAGGGTGGGCACTTTCAACCCATTATAGCTCATCATGTTCACTTCCATGTTGCCTGAGCCCTCCTCCTTGTTCCTTTTCACCCAAAAGAAAGGTACCAAGAGATGAGCATGTTTGTCTTTGGTCAGCGTAACAAACTCTGTGAAGGCCTTGAAGGGAGTGATGCTGTAGGATACACCTTCCAATTCCACAACCCAGCCATTGTTGTGGGTGGTGCTATCCTTCACTTTGCTAACAGAGCCACAGGGCCATAGCTTCAGCTTGCCCTTGGGAATTTTCTTGGAAGCCCATAGACCAGAGGGCGGTGACACAAAGCGCAGGCTTTCATGCAGTGACTTCTGGCCTTGCAAGCTGTCTTGGTAGCCCTGCAAGAGCAAATGTTGAACCTTTGCCCTCCTGCTCTTCCAAGAAAAACTTGAGTTTTCAGGAGAGTGCAAAGCAACCATTTCTGGTGTGCACTTCTTTGGTTGCTCTTTTTTGGTAGGCCTCCATGCCTTCAAATCATCTATGCCGACTTGCTTGGTCACCTTGTCACCAAACAGGGGTAGGTGGACAAAGGTAGCATAGGCATCATCAATGCCCACCAGCTCAAAAAGGAGGCCTTCATGTTCCTTGTGTGTGTACCTTGGGTTGTCAAACCTATTCAGCACTCCAAAACAAATTGAACAACAGAATTGCTATACGATGCAAAGCCAGCCAGCAGTGCAGCCAAGCTGCAGCTGTCCAAGGCGCAGATATTGATTTTGCATAAGGGCAAGTCTAGCCATAGAGCTGTGCGCAACATCAGTCACTTCCAAGGGCTCTGAAGCTTTCTCATCTGAAGACCCACTGGGCTTGGACAGCTTCACACAATCCTCTCCAAATCCCTGTATCTGGGTGACTGACTCAAAAGCCTTTTCCCTGTCGGTTTTCTTCAGGAAGTGGAGAAGCAATCTGACAGCAAAGCGACCGAAAGCCACATGCTGATCATCTTTGGGCAAGCTGCGTTCACCCAAGGCTTCCCAGCCTTTAGACAGCAAAGTTTCCACACTTTTGGTTTGGGCCTTCAAGGTCACACTCTTCAATCTCTCAGCATCACTCTTTGTGATAAGCTTCTGGACACCATCAGCATGCTTGCTGCTAGTCAAGCAGCAAGCCAAAATTGCCACCCTGCAAAAGGGATACACGGTCTGAGAATCTTTGAAGTCTGTGTGAAGCACTTGCATCCATACTTCCTCTCCAACCAGCAGGGAGTGTCCAAACTTTTGGCCTCGATTGCCCCATCAGCACACACACACACAAGCCCAGGGGCCCAGGGGTCATCAATTTGCAACAAAAGAACAAGTATCAAACCAATGCATGCAAGGTACTGAAGGCGTGCAAAAAGGATACCAATGGAAACTGCTTGCCACCACCAAACTTGGAGGCAAACAAGCCCACCTGCTCTACATACTCTTTGCACCTAGGTTCACCAGCCTTGGCAAAGAAAATGGCCTCCTCTAGCTCCAGGCCAGAATTGTACATTTGTACAATTTGAGAAGCTGCCTCAACCTCTGTCCCACCAATGGAGTTGCTGTTGCTCGAGTTCAAAGCAATGGACACAAAGTTGGGGAAATTGGGCAGCAACTTTTCACACTGAGCTGTGAAAACCTGCCACTTCCAACCATGCTGGCTCAACCGATGGATGGTCTCATCCACCTCTGAAGACAGTTTGTCACCAGAAGGGCTGACGCAACCTTGGCTCAAGCACTTCACAAAGGCACAGCTATGAGAAGCTCCCAAGCTCAAGAACCTTTCTTCTGCTGTAGGGCTGGCCAAAAGGCCTTCACACGCTCTACTCAGGGCTCTTGAGTCACCTGAAGCCATCTCTATGCAAAAGCTGTGGGCTTCCAACAATGGAACGCTGACTCCAGTGTGAAGAAGGCGCTGGCCTTTGAGGTGCACGTCATGGCAGCCAACCATGCTGCCTCCACGGTTCTGTGGATGAATGAACATTTGTTGTGGTGTCACAACAGCCTCATACATTAACTTCTGCTTTTTCAAGACTTGGCACACTCTGTCTAGCTTATGGGTGGCTCCCACATCACTTTGGTTGATGATGCCTTCCACCAAGTTCTTCACTTGGTCTGCCCCAAGCATGGCTCAAATCTCTACAGGCAAGTGTCACACCTGGGTAAACTTTATCATTAAGCCATGCATGCCAGCTTGCTTAGTGCTTGTTTCTTTGCCAGTTCATGAAGGTGGCAGCTTGAAAGACAAACAAATCACAGGTTTGCTTGGATAGCCAAGGCAGGCCAAGACATGAAGCCAAAGGTGGCTAGTAAAAAGTCACAGGTTTGCTTGGCTACCTTCAGGCCAAGACATGAAGCCAAAGGTGGCTAGTGTGAAAAACTTTACATTGGCAGCCAAAACAAAGCAACAAATTGAAAACATGCAGCCAAACATGGCTACTGGTAGAACAATACCTGGTGCCTGTACAGCATTTTTTTTTACCATGCTCAGGTGGGAAAACAGCCAGTAGGTGAAATAAACACAAAACATCCTTAGGGAAAATTAGCAATTTTTCTGTTCAAACAATGTGTTTTTAGGTCAGCCAACCTTGCAAAAAATGCTTTGGACAATTCTTTTTTTGGGCGCTAACTTTTCTAATTATTTAGGTTTTTTTAAAGAAAATTAGAACAGTTAACTAAAAATTACATTTTTTAGTAACTCCGGTAACTAGTTATTCAAGATATAACTGTTTAACATACCTTTAGCATAGGTTTACCACAAGCCTAACACCTGCTTAGTATGTTGCACCAACCTTGTTAACCTCTAGTATTTCCACAGCCCATCAAAGCACTATGTCTTGATCAGGTTTGCCTCACAATTGTAGTGGAAAACCATTGTTGTCGTCATCCTCGACGTCGTCGTTTCCGACTGGTTCAACTCCTCGTCGACCCCCCCTCCGGCGCCGCTGCACTTGAAGCACTTTGGCCCTCGGGCACCCAATCTCAACAAGACTAATTAATTACAGTACTTTTCAAAAAAATGACAACACACCGACAAAACCCGCTTTGCGTTGCCAGTTCAATATAGAATCATGAAACACGTGACAATGACTTGATGCTGTGGCGCTTTGCTTTTCTCCTTCTCTTTTTGTTTTTGCCTTTTGCGCCTTTCTAACCGGCTTTTGTTTTCTCATGCCGCAGCACCGGGCACACTTCGCCACCTTTCCTTTTCAGATCTTTGAAAGATCTTTCTGCCGCAGCGCCTTTCAGGTCTTTCAGAAACTTCTGAGTCGCCAGTCCCTGAGTCGTCATCGACCAGGAAATGATTGCCGCTCCACGACGGCTCCAACAAAACAAGTAAAACAAAAAAATGCAAATTCATTGGCCAAGCTGCTGACAACTCCCCGTCGTCGTTGTAACCCGCGCCGGGAGCGATTCTAGTCGCTTTATCCTGTCGGTTAGTAGCTGGGACGGGGTTCGAAGGGGGGTCAGCATGGTGTCGAGCACCTTGTGCCAATCTAGTCCGACTTCGAAAACCCTGCCTGGGCGGGGAGGAGTGTGTGGACATCAGCGAGCTGCTGGCCGAAGATGCGCGGCAGTCTATTGGGCTGATACCTAGTTGTACGCTCCACACTTCTTGGAGTATCGGGTGGTGGACGTCCAAGAGGAATTTGACGGTTTTTTTCACTGCTATAGATAGGCGAACCAGTTTGTGTTTTGCGTATTCTCCTTCGGTTTGTCCACCAGGTTGAAAGCTGAGCAAAGGAAGCCGTTGGCATGGTTCCAGGACTTGCTATGCAGAACCGGCTCGGCTCTCTCACACTCGTCCGGGTCCTTCACCATTATCTCACCTTCTGTCTATTCGAAGAGGGTGCACTTGGACGCGTAGACGTCCATAAATTTGTCTCCGGCTGCCTGGCCGAAGTACACCTGCTCTGGCAGCACATTTATGGGTGCTGCAAAAGAACTGCATTCTTCCCCCAAGCAGTGTGGACA